TGGGAAAGTGTGTAGCAGCCCCTGTGTGCACTCCAAGAGAGGCTCATTTGGGATGATTTTAAAAGGGTCTCCACCTCCTGGATAAGAGTTTCCCCCCTTCTGCCTTGGGGTAGACAAGGACAAGAATGGGCTGAATGTCACGTAGATCAACATGCTGCTGGTTGAACCAGGAATTTCTTCTAACTATCCAGCTAGCCCACAAAAGGAGATATCCTTAAATGGAATAAGGTAAAAATGACACATGTGTTTTGTAAAATCAGTTGAAACAGGCATTTTTCTGGACCCAAACAGAGGTGTTATTATTAGGTTTATTCTAGAGCTTGTTATTCAAATGTTAATGAAATGGTCATTGCCTTGTGATTAAAAGGTCGTGTTGGTGTAATGTTTACAGGCAGGATGTGTGGGCAGAACAAGTGTCCACACTGCTTAGCCAACACTAGCTATTACTCATTAGGAAACATGGGGAAGGAAACTGGGGAAAGGGGAGCAGAGAAGTATGGAATAGGTAGATGTTTGCAGCAGTATAGGAACAAGGAGCAACCACATCCAGGACTCTGAACTATACTAAGACCAAGAACAAAAGCGGTGGAGGTGGAGGGAGCAGACGTCTGCCACATCACAGAAGCAAGGGGCAGATGTGTGCTAGCGCTCTGAGGATCAGCAGGGCTGCTGAACACCAATGAGCACCAGTTGGTGTGAACCTGGTAGCCCTGGTTGCCTTTAATATATCACCATGAATGACTGCAGGGCACAGAGCTGTGTGTGAGGAAGGAGATTGGGACTGCTGTCCTCAGGGCCCTTCTGGGCTGGGGTGGCATGACAGCTCACAGTGACACTAAATGCAGGGCATGGCTCACAACATCTGCTCCTGCCTCAGATGTCCTTCTCTCCACGCCTGGTCCCCTTTACTGATCTGAGTCCTGTTCTTACTTCAAAGTATCCTCATCCAGGAAGGCTCCCTTGGTCACCCAAATTCTCAGTCGTTTCTCTCATATCTCAACTCCCATGACATTCACTGTCTGCGTCATGCACTTGGCACGTATCCTATATTAAATTATTTTAAACAAACACATACACGGGTACTTTTTTCATATAAGATCCAAGAGCAAAGAAACTAATTCTGATTTGTTTACCACATAACCCATTACAATGAGATCCGCACAAGTGCTGGGTGCATTTTCGAGAGGAAGCACAGAGTTCAAAGTTAAAACTCCTGTGTTTTCACACTAGCTCCACATTTCATGAGAAATCTGATGCCGGACATATAACAAGCCACTTAACTTCTCTAGGCCTCAGTCTCCTCCTTGGAAAAAGAGGTTAAAAATACCAAGACCTCCTCACACAGTTCTCAAGAGCACCACAATAAATAATGGATGTGGAAGCACTTTGTAAAAAGCACTGTTTAGATTCAGCCTGATAATCACGCAAGAGTGTTGCTTTTCCCCGGTCTTACCAACTATATCAAACCTTTAATCTGTTGTGTCCCTAGCAGAACTTTGCACGTAGCAGAAGTTCAAGAAATATTTATCCTCTTTAATAACGCTCATAATAGCAATGTTGATGATTATGCCTGGCCACTATTGATGAAGATAACTTCATGGTCACCTAATGCTCAGCAAACGTGATTTTTACATTTGAATGCACCCCTTAAGCCACAGGCTCTTCCCCTCTCTCCTTTATGACATGTCGGGTGAGGGTGGGAAGAGGCCTCCAGTCTGGCAGAGGCCCCTTTAAAAATGTACCCGGGCTCCTCCTCTGCCAACCAGGTTGCTAAAAATATGACAGCAAAAGCTGAAATATTTGCAGCGAAAACTGAATTTCCTGCTCCCTCCACCCCCTCCACTCAAATGGGTAAAATCCTGACCTAAGAAGCCCCTAGATCAGCTCCACCAAAGGCACAGGCCTCCTACTTTTCAGCCTCTTTCTTATTATGGAGTCCCTCTGTGGGCTCGAGCTGGGATGTTATGTTCAGAAAGTGCCCACTCCAAGGAGGGGAAGCCACAAGCATTGGCAAATAGATTGTCACATGTCTTGGCTTTTCTCCCTGCTTACTAGGACCAGCCCTCTCCAAATCCCCTTCCATCTGTCCCAAGAAGGATCTGTATTGGACCACAAAAGCTTCCCACTAATCCATCTTCCAGACTCTCTTGTGCTAACCATCTCCTCTTCTGCCTGCCATGGCTTTTACTCTTAACCCTCTACCTCCGTGCTCCCTGTCGTCATCATTTCACAGCACCCATATGCCCCAGCCCTTCATTTGGGGACCTCATCTCCTTTCCAGGCCTGCAGCCCTCCCCCTTCAGTAGCCATGGGGGTTGGCAACTGTACAGGAAGGTCAGGGACAACTACTGGGTCCAAGCCCAGGTGATTAGAAGCTAATATTCTTAACATAGACTAGTAGCACCAACCCTGGGCCAGGAAAGCTGCTGTGGGAAGTGTCTCCTAGAATCATCATTTTGCCGAGGACCAAAGCCCTGCAGACCCGGACGTGGGTATCCCACATTGCACCTGTTCCTTTTCCCAGCTCCTGTATTTGAGAATCACAGGCTCAGAGTTCCACCAGCCCACCGTGCAGATGAACTCCAGCCAACTAGAGGTGTAAAAGAGGAACTCTTTCACAAGGGTTAGTGTCTGCCCTGGCCCTACAGTGGCTAAGGCTAAGGGGTCCACCCTGAGCATGTCTTTGGATGTCAGTGTGTGACAGCCTGTTCAGGGTGTGTGGCTCTGTGGATGTATGAGCAGTGTGTGTGACCCCGTCTTTGGGTCTATGTGTATGTGAGGCTATAGGGGTTGCTGCTCTTGCCTCTGGTATTTCAGCTTGTGTGAGTGTGTCTTCTCATTCCCGTCTCTGCCTTCTCACCTCAGAGCCAGCCCATCCCCCAGGGCGAGCACTGTGGCCAGTTCTGCGTAGGCGCCTCAAGTGGGCTGCTACTGAAACGCTTGTTTTGCAGATGGAATTGACAGTTGCCGTATCTGTTCTCCTGTGGACCCGCCAGTGTTCAGAGACACCCTCACCCCACACAAAGGTGTTTTTCAGGAAGAGGCAAAGGCTATGCTGTCTGTGTGGGAGTTTGGGGTGTGTGTGTAAAGATACCTCCCTCTCAGCTCTGACCAGCAGGAAGAAGGGCCCAGAGGCAGAGCAGCCTGCAGAGGGATGTTGCCTAGCAACTTAGGAGACTTTACTGCAAACTCACCAAATCCCGAATTCCTCAGCTCTAATTTGGGAAGAGAAAAGCACAGAGTCTAGGCCTGGTATCTACTATGTCACCCCAATTTCCTTCTTTCCTCTCCCCTCTGAATTCTGGAGATGACGTCCGACAGGAACTGGCACACCCTAAGGCTCCAGATGTGCCCATCACATAGGCAAGGGCCTGGGTTCCCAAGACATCTGGCCATTTGGTGGAGGTGGGGAGATGGAAGATGTGCCAGAGACAGCTTGGGGAACAGATTTTTAGTTACAAGGGTGGGTGGGTCCCAAACATGCTGAGAGAGACACCCCTACACCCTAAGCCCTGGAATCCCAGCCAGCATCCAGCTCAGCTCAGGGCCTCAGCTGGCTAAGCTAGTCCCATCCTGAGTGGACACTGGAATTTTCCCCAACTCATTTTCCCTTTGCCAAGGAAAGCCTGTGAGCCAAATGTTCAGGTGGGAAGGAAGCCTGTAATAGCCATCGTGGGACTGGCCAGTGGCTGGGGACGCCTTGCAGCAGTGCCTGGGAGTCCCCTGTCACACCCAGAGCCACAGGGCTTTTCCCTCTGCTTTACTCTAGGCAGCAGCCATCTTTCTTCCTTCTCTCCTCTAGGACCTTAGCTGAGAAAGACTCTTTATAGTTTTCTCAGAGAAGGCCGACTCTGCCCAAATAACACGCCTCACTGCCAGCCCTGGCACCCGGACAAGTCGGGGTGGTTGGTGACCACAAAAGTGACAGACTGCCCCTCCCAGATGCTCCTTCCATATCTCCCCTTCCCAGCCTTTCGCAAAGCCCACATCCTTCCTCATCATAGACCCAAAGACTCTATTAACTTCTAATTGCCTATACTTGGGTTTAGGGTATTTTTCTTCTTCCCAGGATCAAGTGTGAGGGTGGCCAGTTTTTGCTTTATTCCGAGGCAGTAGATCAAGATGTCAGGGAGAGTCTGGTGTGAGGAGTGGCTGGAGGGAAGGGTGTTTCTTCCAAGTCTGAACCCATATCATAAACATACACAAAGGGAGTTTTGTGGGTTTGGTGCAGGGTATACTGGCAGATAATAGATGATGGATCAATATGTAATAGACACGCAATACAGACAGCCTGAGTAGGGTGATTGCCTGTGGCGGGTGTGTGTCCACAACAAGCTATCTGCACCCACCTGGAACTGCACAGGGCGTGCATACAAGGTCTATGTAATTATTTTTGCAGGTTGTGACCATAGTGTCCATGTGTTGGGAGAACACTTTTTAATGAGCCTGGTAGTGTCTGTCATATGTGGACAATTGAGCCTTCTGAGCTTTTGTGTCCGCGCGTGCCCGTCACCAGGTTGTCTACCAACAGCTTTCTCTGTTCTGTAGCGGGAGTGATGATGGGACTTTTTTTACTGCACGTCTTAAGGAGCTTTTCTTTGCGGACTGAGGGGGAGGGAAGTTAGAGGGAGCCATATTTGGGACTTCAGCTAGGTTGTGGAAATATGGAGAGGTGGGTGAGGGGTGCGTGGTTTTCTACCCATGGGCGGGAGAGGGTGCTTGGGCCCAGATGTGAGTGTGTTTGTGCCAGGAATGTCGGGGCCTCCGTTTGGTCTGCCTACTCCAGCATGCATCTGCCTGGCAGTCTGCCGCGTAGCAAGCCAGGGGATTGAGTTGGGAGGATGGCGTGTAGGGGGAATAAATACAAGTGTGTGGGCGGAGGGGTTGGGGCAGGAGGGGAGCGCAGCGGAGGGAGGCGAGAGAGAGGGCGTGGTCCTCCCGCCACTTGTCCCCGCCCACCCTGCCGAAGGCTTCTGATTGGCTTCCCGGCCGCGGGGCTCAGGTTACATTCGCGAGCAGAGCCGAGCGCGGGAGACCGGACCCGGGAGGCGAGCTGCAGGTTCGGTGCGGGTCGGCTGGCGACCCACAGCCCTTGAGCCCCCACCCAGCATCACACAGACCCCACCCCCGCCTTACGCCAGCGTCCGCCCCAGGCAAGGACCCCCAACACCAGCATGGACTGCTGCACCGTAAGTTAGGGGGCGCGGGAGACCGGCACTCAGCTGGGTTCGGGGCAAGGGGCAACCAAGAACCCCCTGGAGGGCGAGTAAGGAATGGAAGTGGGTGCGGAAGACCTAGGAGCAAAAAGGGGTGCCTACTGAGACGTGGGTGGTGGGTGATGAAGGCGCTCGCCGGAGTTGGAAGCCCCAGGAAAAATGCTCCCCAAGTTGCGGGGGCGTCTGAGCGTCGATCAGCCTGGCAGTCTAGGTTGGACTGGGATCTCGGCAGGGCTCTGCGACAGGGACGCTGGAGGTTAGACGAGAGGAGGAACTTACTCCCCACACAGACACCCCAGGGAGACGCTGGAAACCGTCACCTAGGGAGCTGTGGCGACTCCTTTCTCCGGGCTTTCGGCCTCCACCCTATTTCCCATCCCACTGCCGCCGCCTGGGTGGGCGGACCGGCTGATGCTCCAGAGCCTTCAACAACCACCTAAGCGCCCTGTACAGCGCAGGCTGGGATAATCGATTCATACTGGTTATCTTAGCAGTGTTGATGAGCACCGGAGAGCCGAGTCAATGTGGTTCTTGGGGCGGAGGGGTGGGTGTTGGCCGGCCCCCAACGCCTTCCGCTCTGGGGGGGCTGGGTGAAGTGACCGCTGGAGAGCCCTGCCGGCGAGGGAAGGAAGTGTCTGCGTTTGTCAGTGCCCACACGGAAACCTGGAGACAGCAGGAGCCTAAAGCCAAAGCAGGTTGCTGTTAAGGTGGCTCCATATGACAGCACCTGGCACAGGACCTGCCTCACTGGAAGAGTCCAGTGCTCATACGTATATAAAATATGTGTGTTCATTTATTTATTTTTAGCCCCTACATATGGAGAAAGACTCCTCCAAAGTCTTTGTATTTTCACTCAGTCAACTCAGCTAATGATACAAGAGGTTACTGACTTTGCCTGCTCCCCACCCTCCATCCCATGGCTACGAAAGAAAAAAAAAAGTGAGGTTTGGAAGGAAAGGATAGCCTAGTTTCATAAGAGGTGAGACTTCCTTATGGCTGGGTACCAAGACCCTGAGCAACTGTAGGGGCAAGTCCTGGTTGTTGTAATTGTAACTCTTGTTAGTGTCAATAATGGTTGCCAGTTTGTGAATGCTCACCGTGTGCCTAGCACTTTACATTTAATCACGGCAACAACCCTGGGTGAGGTGACGTTATTTCACAGATGTTCAGACTGAGGTTTAGAAAGATTAAATGATTTTCCCAAGGAGGCAGGATTTCAGCATAGCTCTGTCTGATTCGAAGAGCTATACTTTATCCCCTCCTCTGAATCTGTACTGTTTTTCTTCATTGTAAAAGTAATATGCTCATAATAGAAAATGTAAAAACTAAAGAAAAGTATAAATGCGAGACATCAGTCATCTACAACCCACCCCGTCCCCATGATAACACGTCTCTTTCCGGCCTATTCCCTTTGCTTGTTATGCTCCAGAAAACAATTATTGTTGTGAAAGGGCTCCACTTTCCTGGGGTCCACTGAAGAAGAGCCCCTAACCCCCAGCAGTGTCTTATAAAGTAGAGAAAATAAATACATCATGGATTCTGGGATATGAGTGGGAAAGGGGAGAGGAGTGTGGAGGCTGGGGAAGGGGAAGCAGGAGGCATGGTCAGTGAGTAAGCAAAGGATCCAAGAAGCCAGAGAAGGAATGTAGTTTGTCTCCTTTGGTTTCTGCAGAAGTAATTAGGGTAGGATGTGGTGTCCCTGCTTGCAGGCCCTGGTCCACTCAGGACTGTGCTCTTAAGTGCCCAGGAAGCCATACGGAGGGATTCTTAGATGTGGTTGGAATCAATGTCCCCTACAAAGGGGAGGCTCCTCACCCAAAAGGTATAGATACACAATTATCCCATTCCGCCCAGTGCACAGGAGCCTTCTCAATTCATGTCCTGTCCTAGATCTGGAGAGACAAAGGCTGAGCAAGAGAGACACAAACCCCTCCTGTGCAGGAAGGGGTTTGGGAAGAAGAAAGGGTGATAAGGTGGAGAGTTGGGGAAGGGCAGAGGTGGGGCTGGGCATCTTCCTACCACCTTCTGGTGGGCTGGGCTCAGTGCTGAAAAGTAGCAGGGACTTACTTGTAAAGAGAACAGCATGGTACCTCTTGGGGGCTAGAGGCAAGTCCTTCATCTTTCATTTTGGGGCTGCCTGAGCTGCCTGAGCAAGATGATCGCCTTGCCTGATGTTTGGGAAGAGCCTAGTCTTGCCTTGGTCCCTCTTTCCCCTTGGCAAGAAAACTCAAACAGAAATGAGGAAGAAGAAAACATTGTTTCATGTTTTTTTCTGTCAACAGACAGAGATGTTGATTAGAATGTTGCATTGGCTGAATGACAGAGAGAGCCATATATGTACACATACACACACACGTACCCCATATATCACTTTTCTCGCATTCATTTAATCTGAAAAAGCAAAGTAACTTTTTTTTGGATCCTATTCCTTTCTTTTGATTAGTCTAGTTGGCTTCATCCTGCTGAATTCAGAGAAATAATTACCTGCCCTAAGACATTAGCTAACAGCAGAGGCTACTGAATCCAATCACTTCACTATTTGGCAGCTAAATAACCTTACGTAGGTTACAAAACGTCTCTGAGGCTATATCCTGACTCCTAAAATGGGGATTAAATTGGGTAATTTGTGCAAAATGCTTAGCAGAGGCCACCTGACACAACTGGCAAGGATAATCTTTAAAGCTATTAGAATCTGGGGATTGAAGGAGACGTTATTCCTTTAGATCAAGTTCTAGTTGTGGCTGAAAAAAATGAAACTTGGAGGTGAAGTAATATGCCCAGCTGGGACTAGAGGCCATGGTTCCTATTTTGCCAACCAATGCACTTTCCACCTCCCCCACGACCACCCCTGCCAGATGTCCTACAGCAGTCTAGGCTATGGGAGGCCCTGTCCCCAGCCATCATGACCAACGAAACCCTTTCCAGACTCTTTTTACTGTCTTTTTAGTTTTGCCATTTAGTAGCTCTGTCCTGAGAATTGAGCTGGAGGGAAACACAGCTGATTCTAGAGAAGAGCAGAGGGTCAGGGGTGGCTTTGTCTATTGGTCTCGTTTTCTATTCTGGATCCAGCTGGAGTGGGATGGTAACAGCAGGTCAGGTCTTAGCACAGTTGGGGGAAGATACCCCTTCCCAGAAGGGTTCCTCCCCCACTCAACCTCCTGTAAGGCCATCAAGATGAGGTGGGTCAGGAATGGTTATTTAAGGTTGTTGCCCCCTTTTGAGAAGGAGCCTCACTATTCCCTGAAAATATCCCAAGAAAGACTTGAGTTCTGAGAATCAAAGAACTCAAAGGAGTTATTTCTGATTTTATGTGAGAAATAAGATGTCAGGGAAAGCTCTAGACCTGTGAAAGACAAGAATGTATTTGTCAGGCCCCTCCACACTGGCCTATTCCTAATGCCTTTAGCCACATTTAAATGGATTGTGGGCTTCTCCAGCACAAATGAAAGAACTCTGAAGCTGGGGAAGTGAGGATAGCCTCAGGAAACATGGTAAAGGGGAGCCATTTATAAACTAGGCTTGGGCAACTGGAATTGGAACGTGCACTTCTGGAGCAGAACCTGCCTAGAACAGTGATCACTGAAGCCACCTCACTCATATCCTATCCACTTCTGTGAATTGGATTGAGCAATGTGCAGAACTGAATTGCCATTACTATGTGAGACCTTGGTCATCTCATGTCCTAGAAGAAACAGTGAAAGCTGTGAAAGTCATCATGCAAAAAAAAAAAAAGCACAAATTCCTAGAAGCCAGAGGGTCAGATCAAAGGAGAAAGGCCCTTCCAACCTCATAGTAACCACCCCTATCCCAACCTGCACTAATGGTAATATTAACCAACAGAGGGGCACAGGAGCTGCACGTCTCTCCAATCCAGAGCCTTGCCTCCAAAATCAATAGGTTTTCAACCTTCCTAATGCCACAGTGCTTGAGTACAGTTTCTGTGGGTCACGACCCACAGGTTGAGAACCGCTGCACCATCTAACTCTTTCTACTTTCAGCTAGGGAAGGCTGTCAGAGAAGCAGAAACCTACTTTGGGGTGCAGGGGTGGGTCTGATTATTATTAGGTTGAACCAGGTGAAATGGTTATTATATGACCACTTTGGGCCTGTGAAAACGACCGTTTCACGTCAATTTATTACGGGTCAGTTTAAGACAACCATAATAGCTACCACTTACTGAGCAACTAGAATCAGGGGTCCTCAAACTCTTTAAACAGGGGACCAGTTCACTGTCCCTCAAACGGAGGGCCGGACACAAGACAGGCAGCCGTGGCAAAAACAACCGGCGGGCGGGATAAATGTCCTAGGCAGGCCACATGTGGCCCGTGGGCCGTAGTTTGAGGACACCTCAACTAGATTGTGCCAGAAGCTTTATGCATGTCATGCTATTTGTTCTTTCCCACAACCCATAGAAGCGGATATTATTGTTCTGATTTATCAGATGAAGGAGCCGAGATAGGAAAGGATTAGATGATTTGCCCAAGACCTCACAGTTACAGCAAGCGGTGGTCAAGCTTTGGTTTATTACAAAGTAGGGGTTAAAAATATATTCTGGACCTGACATATGAGGGTTTGAATCTTAAGTCAACTGCTAACTATCTGTAGGACCCAGGTAGGTTTTTAAACATTCCAGTCATTTTTGTTAAGGGGTAAACTGGGATGACAATAAAAATGTACGTCATAGCTTTATTTTTGAGGACAATATAAAATAATGTCTCTAAAACACTATGTTATTGCACCTGGAACAAGGTAAGTGATTAAATGGTAGCTATCACCGCACAGCTGTGTCCACCTGGTCCCAAACCTTCCTCTTGGCCTGCTGCTCCCTCTCCCCAACACACCGGCCCAGTGTGAGACCCTGCTTTACCCCCTCCCCACCCTCAACTCTATCTTTGCACCTCCCACTCCGCGTGCCTTCCTCTCCACCCCCCAGGGCTGTGTTCCTATCCCACCCTCGCGGGATCACGATCCAGTCACCCCATAAGAACCCCCCTGCCCCGCCCCCAGGAGAGCGCCTGCTCCAAGCCGGACGACGACATTCTCGACATCCCACTGGACGATCCCGGCGCGAACGCGGCCGCAGCCAAAATCCAGGCGAGTTTCCGGGGCCACATGGCGCGGAAGAAGATAAAGAGCGGAGAGCGTGGCCGGAAGGGCCCGGGCCCTGGGGGGCCGGGCGGAGCAGGGAGCGCCCGGGGAGGCGCGGGCGGTGGCCCCAGCGGAGACTAGGCCAGGTGAGGCGGGCGGGCGGGCTGGAGGCGTCCTTACCCAGCCCTCCTCCCAAGAACCGGGGCAGACTATGGAGGACGGGGGAGAGGGGTGCGGTGTAGGGAGCTGAAGGCGGGGGACTGGAAATCCGAGATCTGGGATGAGTGGGGCGGCGGGAGGAGGCCGAGGGTGCTGTGGGTTCCGAGGGATCACTTTTTTCTCCCTTTTTACCCTCCCTTCTGCCCCGCTCTGGACCAAAGAAGAACTGAGCATTTTCGAAGGTAACGGATACTACCCCAAAGCGGCAGGGTGGTAGCCGTGAGTGGGAGAAAAAGACCAAATCCCCTACCCTTCCCTCTGTCCGCCCTCACCCCTCCCAGCCAGGGAAAATGCACCCTGCGCTTTCGGGTTTTCTGATACATCAGGATGCCTGAGGCTACGACCAGGACACCACTGGACCAATACAGACACGCAGTCACCCCTATTTGGCTGCACTAACCTGGCCGAGGGAAACACACCGCGGTGCACACACGTACCTGCAGCAGGGCTCACTTCGACACAGTGACTCGGGCGGGGGCGTTCTGGGTGGCTAGGGTCCCCTGGGACTACCCGCCCAAGTATCCCGGCTCAGAAAGGGGTGATGGTGGAAATACCAGGAGAGGGCAGGTTCTCAGACTTTCTCTCTCCTCAGTTCCCGAGGAGAGATGGATGCCGCGTCCCCTTCGCAGTGACAAGACTTCCCTGCCGTGTTTGTGACCCCCTCCTTACCACCAACCTGCCAGCTTCAGGAGCCCCCTGCCTCCCAGAAACTCCCTCTCCCAGGCAGGCTCCGTCGCGGAGTCCGTGCCCTTTTAGTTAGTCTCTAGTCCAGTATGGCCCCTATTTGCCCTTTCTCCCCAACCTGCCCTAAACCCTGAGCTCCCAAATCTTCCTTCTTTTGCTTCTCGCCCACCTCTCTCCGCACCCAGCATGCAGCTCTGCCTCCGCAGCCTCGGTGCGCTTCCCTGCGCGCACTGAGGAGGGCGCCCTAAGCGTCACCCAAGTACACTCCAAAAACAAGTCTTTTGGTTCTGTGCGCAGCTAAAAGGGGCGCCCTGCGTCTCTGTGCCGTTCCCGTCCCAGCCTAGCACTTGGGCTCGGTACAAGGAGAAAGGGGAAGAGGGTTTTCACGGTGTCAGATGCCCCTTGCTCTGATCAGAAGGGAAGTCCCAACCCCACACCTGCCTGTCGCGCCCCCTTCCCTCTCCCTAGCGCACTCTGAGAGCAGCCTCTCCAGCTCTCTTGTTTATGCAAACGCCGAGCGCCTGGGAGGCTCGGTAGGAGGAGTCTTCCGCGGCCCCGCCCCCGCCCCTGCCTGTGCCAGCCCGGTCCCTCACAGGGCTCCTGGGGCTGTGGCCGGAAGGTTTTTAATCTCAGTGTGTGCATGTGACCGTTCCGGGTTGGAATGTGAACAATAAAGAGGAATGTCCAAGTGTTCAAAGGGTGCCGGGGGAGGGAGTTTGGGTGCAGAAGGCCACCCCTTGGTGCTTGACAAGACTCATTTGCTCAAACCAAAGAGCATGAATGGGGACGGGGGTGGGTGGAGGGGGGAAGGGTAAAGCAGAGGTGGAGCGAGCAGTACCCTTGTCAAAACCTGCTCCCTTGACCCAGCTAAACTTCCTGCCTATGGGCGTCGTCTCCCGGACTTCAAGCTCGTTCGTTCCCTCCCTTCCTGGTAATACTCCTCGAATCACCTAGAGGAATTTGACATACCACCCGGAAGAAGAGGGAGTCAATATGGTACCCAAAGACTTTTAATTATTAGCATCCTTCTTCACCGCCCTCGGGGATCAGAAATCAGACCACCATAGGGAGCTTGGACTTCGTGGTCGTCACAGTGCTGGCAGACGGGGCCTTCTCCAGCAGCCCAATGCTAGGATCAGCCCTCACAGAAGTTTGCTCAGAAATCCCAGGAGCAGTGGCGTCCTCCCTGATGGATTTAGGGAAATTCTTAGTGAAGGGTAGAAGCATCCTTCAGAGGACAGCCACCCTCTAACCTGGGGACTTTTAAATTTTACTGTTCATGAGAATCATCTGTGGAACTTTGGTTAAAATGAAGATTCCAAGCTCATCTACCCTTACCTTCCATAACACGCAAACACACCCCGTAAGAGGGCTGGGAAGTGGCCTGAATCTGAATGTTGAGTACATTCTGGACCCGGACTAGCAGCTTAAGTAAATGGCAGAAGCAGCTTTCCCCCCTCCTTTCCTGATTGCCTCAAACAGAACTAAACTCAGCTGAATGCTCAGGACAAAGCTTCCAGGTAGTTATAGTACATATGGAAATACAACAGAAAAGCCAATTGTTTTTTAAGTATGAAGAGGGGCAGTGCTCCCTACCCCTAAACACATTTTACAGTGTCAGAGTTTGAGGGTTGCAGGCACCCATTTTTAACCCCAGCCCTTTCTCCCCCCTCTGCACCACCCCCCAGCCCTCCTGCTCACCGAAGGTCACTACCCCCATAGGTCCCTTTGGGATTCTTCTTCCTTTCTTTCTGAAACCTGATCAGGCAGAAGGTAGCAACTGACAGCAATAGCACACCCAGGAGCACCCCGATCAGAGCCCCGGCCACTCGGCCTTTGGAGGGATCTAAGGAGACACAGGACCCTCAGAGTTACAGACCTTCCTTGCCCATCCTCAGACAGCTCCATACAGCCTCCCCACCCCACGCCTGCCAGCCTGGCATCTTCCCAGCATACCCTACCAGTCACAGAGAGGGTCAGCTCACAGGATGCACTGCCCATCTGGTTGGTGGCCACACAGCGGTAGGTGCCGGAGGAGGTCAGAGAGAGGTTGGTGAGGATGAGCTGGCCAGACACCTCATCTACAGGATGGAGAGGAAGTGTTCCACCACTCGTGCCACCCATGAGCACCAGCTATGAGAACTCACTTCACTTACATTTCTGTCAGAAAGAGCCTAACCTCATTTTATGGGTTCAGAAAAAGGAAATAATTTGTCCCAAGGGACCCAGAAAGGCATTCCAAATCACTGCAACTTTTGTGTTCTTTCCACCCTACATAGCTGCCTTTTGAGGGAACTGTATATACATAAAGGGATCAGAAACTGGCAATGGAATTGGGGTGGGAAACTTACTGGCTGATGTCAGGTTCCTAGCTGGGAGTAAAAGGTTAGCTTGCTAGAAACTGCATCGTCTTGGGTGGCTCTCAGCTGACCCAAATGTGTTTCTCAATTGCTTACCTTTGCTTTAAAAGAGCATACAGGAGTTTATCCTGGGGTTGTAGGGGATGGGTCTGGATTGATAAAGGACTTTGCTGGGACTGGGAGGAGAAAGAGTTACTGGAGGCTTCAAGAGAAAGCTGAGAAGCTAAGCCTGTTAGATAAATGGTTCTTCCAGCTGGACGTGGTGGCTCACACCTGTGTTCCTAGCACTTTGAGAGGCTGAGGCAGGTGGATTGCTTGAGCTTATGAGTTCAAGACCAGCCTGAGCAAGACCAAGACCCCCGTCTCTTAAAAAAAAAATAGCCAAGCATCGTGGTGAACCCCTGTAGTACCAGCTACTCAGGAGGCTGAGACAAAAAGATCTCTTGAGCCCAAGGCTTTGAGGTTGCTGTGAGCTATAATGCCACAGTACTCTACCAAGCTTGGCAAAGTAAGACTCTGTCTAAAAAAAAAAAAAAAAGGCTCCACACCTGTAGCTCAAGCAGCTAAGGCACCAGCCACATACACTAGAGCTGGCAGGTTTGAATTCAGCCTGGGCCTGCCAAATGACAACTACAACCAAAAAATAGCCAGGCGTTGTGGTGGGTGCCTGTAGTCTCAGCTACTTGGGAGGCTGAGGCAAGAGAATTGCTTAAGCCCAGGAGTTCAGGAGTTCAAGGTTGCTGTGAGCGGTGATGCCACAGCACTCTACCCAGGGTGATAGCTTGAGGCTCTGTCTCAAATAATAATAATAATAAATGGTTCCTCCAAAGTAATTGGCTGAAAGATTGAAGCCAGTCCAGGCTACTCTGCCTCAGTTTCCTTTTTTGGAATCTTGGAAGTGATTCATGATTCTTAAGAAACCGAAAAGGAGTTTCCAAAAGTAGACAAGTGGGAATCATCAGAATGCTCTCTGCCTCCACTCTCTTTGTGGATATCACAGTATATTTACTTTGAGAAATGCTCCCAGGATCACCCAGACACAGTGCAGGAAAGACATTACAGAAAGCCAAGGAAGAGTCAGGGAAAGGTATCGAGGTGTTCCTCATTTTACTAGCCATGGAACTAGTAATCTGGTTGTGTAGGACTTAAGAGACCAGATTTGTCCGGATCTCAGGTCCCCTCTTCCTGATGCCTGGGGCCCTTACCTTGAACCATGCTGCCAGGGGACGGTGTAGGAGAAGATCCAAGGCGCACCCAGTTGTACACTGGCTTGGGAGCTCCCTCAGAAGAGCGACATCTCAGTGCAGCAGAGCTGCCCACAGAGGTTTGCCCGCTCTGACTACATGAGGGGTTACTGGGAGGCACTGCAAATACCACAGAAAGCGCCTCAGCAATCTTCCCACCTGACCCTCATTAAGCACTAGACTTCCTGCTTTAATACCCCTACCAAAATAGAGGCCCGCTTCTGTCCACACCCCACTGTATCCTGAGGAAGGGATTTGCCCTGTTGGAAATTCTGATGGTCAGAAAATTCATTCTCATGGTGAGCCAAAATCTGTGTTGATGTAATATCCACACATTACTTCCAGTTCCTGCCCTCTGGGCCTGCAAGGAGAAATGACAATCTCTCCTCTACCTGACTGTCCTTCAGTGGTTTGAATACAGCAGGAATAGACCACATCCTAGGTCTTGTCTTTTCCATGTAAACACCCCAGCCTCTTTAATAGTTTTTTCTAGTTGCTCACCTCTGAGCAGGCTCTAGTTTGAAGTAAGAAGGAAGCTCAGAACACAAAGGTGGTGCTCAGTGACAGAGGCCCTTGTTCCTTTAATGACCACTCCCCTCTTCTGCCACTGATTTTGAGAATAATAATCTAGCTACCTATGGAATGTTCCCTCACCATGGAGCTGCTGGGGACATGACTCAGTCCCCATGTGTGGGAAAGGCTTTTTCTCTTACAATCTTTGTCACCAGGCCCTGAAGGAAGTGATTGTCTCTGTGGAGGGTGGAGTCAGAGCATGACCATCTAGATTAGAAGACTTGGGAAAGGTGGTATTTTCCTTTAGGGTCCCCAGTGCAGTTGTGCTCAGGCTGACAATGAGGACATGGGGAGACTTAGCAGGGCCAGTGCAAACTTTCAGGTACGTGGGTGGCTGACTGGTTCCCAGCTTGCCTTACCCAGCACAGTAAAGTTGATTAGCCCCAACCCATTGGTGTAGAAATCTGGCGGGTTATTAACATGGCAGAGGTAGGTTCCAGTATCTGAGGGGTGGACGTCAGTCAGTTTCAGCGTGGCCACGCCTCCTGTGGGCGGGTTCTGAAGCAAGATGGCCCGCTTTGCCTTAGAACCAGTTGGATACAGATGGCCATTGGTGAAGTATAGGATCTAGAGAGAGGTAGATAATACACACGAGTGCCTTTTCCTGCCTGGCATCAATTCTACAGTCCTTCCTCATAAAAGTGGGAATAAGAGACCCCTCACATTAGCCAGGGAGGCTCACACCCTGTAGCTAAAACCACAAAGGTCTATCTGCTCCAAACATCACCCCCTTCCAGGTGCTAAATAAACTAAATTTGCTGCTTTCAGTTACACCTGGCTCTCTGTACCCAGGGTAGTGGACACCCATGCAAATAGTCCTAGGAGAGGCAGCATGTTATCCTAATATTAACCACAATGCCTTAGCGGCAATAGTTTGTTAACTGAAACTAGGACTGTACTAACACAGGAGCTGGATGTAGGAGCCATGGGAGAGGAGGGGATGATATAGGGTCAGGTAGACTGCATCCCTGAAAAGATCAGGGGAAAGCCCACTTACCTTTTCATCCAAGCACATTGATGCCCAGATGCACCCTCCCATCCCCACCTGGATCACTGCCTCTCCCTGGCAACCCTACTCAGCACGGTTGCTCTCAGCTCACAGGATGGGACTCAGAGACGGGCCTCCCAGGCTGCACAAAGCTCCACTCCAGGGCGAAGTTGTCTCCCACTGATGTGCTGTAGCTGCAGGTCAGCTCGGCAGACGTGCCCACCGGTGCGCTCAGCGGCTCGGAGGGTACCTTCACTTCCACTGCTAGCCCTGGAGCTGGAGACCAGAGGAAGGTACAGGCCCAAATGGGGGTGGGGAGGATTTGGGCCCACACCCAGGAGATTATACCAGAAGCTGGGGATTCCCTCCGCAAAGCGCAACCCCTTCACCTCGTCTCTGTACCTCCCTTCCCGAAACTTGAGGTTTGGTTTGGAGAGTGAGAAGCCCACAGCCTAGCCGGGTATTTGTGGGTAAAAGGGCTGAGACTGGGCCAGGTATTAGGGTGTGTTCAGCAGAGAAAGGAAAACAATGACCCTGCAGTGGTTAAACTCTCTGCCACAGAGAGGCTGAACTCGCCTGCCTGCTTGGCTACCTCTCCCTGGGCCCTCCCAGCCTCAAGGCCTCCTCCCCAACTCTGCAGCCCTGTGACTCCCCAGTCCCTGAAGCCACAGAGGGATGGAGCAGGCAGGAGGAGGAGCCAGGAAGCCAAGCATCTGCCCCCAGTTCTAGCCCTCGTCCCGCCTGACCCCTCCTCACCACTTAGGCCCACCAAGCCCAACAGGGCCCCGCAGAGAAAAGGGCCAGGGAGCCTGGCCATGGCTGTCCTGCTGGGATGTCTGGGAGGGAAGAGAGCACCCCAAGGGCAGCCGCCTGGTGCTGGGCAGGAGCGAGACTGACTATCTCAGAGCAAACAAGGGGAGAGGCCAGCACTCTCAGCACCCTCACGTAAGAAAAACATGCTCCTCCCTCCTCAGGGCCCGATTCTGGAATCACTTTAACCCTACTCCCTTCTTTCTTCCTCTTCCCACCAACCTCTGAAACTGTCTGTCAGGTCCTGGAAAAATGGCTGGCCTTGGGGTGGACACCCCAAGGGAAAGGCCTCAGAACTGGAGCTCTGGAGGGAACGTCTGACTTTGGAAGAAGAGGGAGACATTCTGATTCCGCCCCCCTCCCCAGAGCTGGCAAAGGACACTGCCACCACAGAGCCTCGGGCAGTGAGCACACCGGCCACCCCACACCCTTCTGGCCCCTTTACAGAGTCTTGTCCTTGCAAGCCCCTTTTCTTCTCACCACTTGCTGAGGTAGGAGTCTCCATGGAAACCACAACCTCCTCCCCATTCCCAGGGCCACTCCATTTTCTGGGCAGAGAAACTGAGATCTAGAGGAGACCCCAGCCTTGATAGGAAAGAGCCTTGCAGAATTCAGACATGGACTTGCATCACACCCTATGCCCAGCTTTCGCTAATGACAATGGGGATCACGTCCAGAGGAGCCAGCAGGTGTGCTCCTTAAGGATTCAATGATTTGGGAGAGGGCAGCACAAGTCAGCTTCTTCTCACCTGCCCTGGAAGAGAAAGTGGGAGACTCACACCTTGAGCACAGAAAGTGCACAGTGGAAAGCACACCAAGCCCACCCCATTAGTGGTCAGAACGCTTTATTAGGGTCTCCTCAGCCTCCGGTCCTTTGCCCCTTTCCACAGGACAACAGATGACTCTTTAGCTCTATAACAGACTGGAAGAGCTACCCAGAACTAGTGAGCTCCAAGGCTATGGAGTAGTGCTACACGGCCTGGTTAAGTGTCCACTTTGCATCATTCTTGAGCTCAATTTCTGGGAATTCTGCTTTTGAAAGAGTGATTTGACTCTTCTTCCATACAAACACAGTGTATCTTTATTGAAATTGGCAAAATAAAAACAAAAACATACATTTCAAGTTAGTTCAAAAAATCTCTTCCCTATTTATTCCCTACCCCAACAAAACCTAACCAAGCCAGCAGGACAGGTTCTATCAATGCAGGCAGCCAGAGTGGGAGCAAAGGATGGTGTTAGATAGGGGCGGGGTGCAGATCAAGGAGGCCTGGGGGATTCAGTGGCTGAAGTCTCTGTCTGGGCCCTGGATGGGCAGCCCATCAGCATTCAGCTGGCTTCATAGGGAGGAGTGGGGGATCAGTAGAGGTGCCTCCTAATCCCAGGTCTATTTCTTCTTCTACCTCCTAGATATTTGGGTTTTACTGAGACTCTGCTTTCTCACAGTAAAGCAAGGTAGGGGACAAAGTGTTGGAGGCCCGGAGCATGGCTACCCTCCCAAGACTCGAGCCTCTGGGCTAGAGGTGACCCCTATGGGAAGGAGAGACACCAGACAGTATGGTACAGTCAATAAGTGGCTGGGCCATCACACCAGAGACCCAGCCTGACTCTGGGCAGGCACCATCACAGGCACGGCACCCATGCGGCTCAGGGCAGAGGAAGAAACCCCACCAGGGTTGGGGGATACTGGCTTGGAGTGGGCCCCATCTGTCCTGGGCAGTCTTGGTGAAGACAAGGCCTGGCTGGAGAGACTGGGTGTGGGGGTCGATGCACCAGGCCTGGGATGGGGATGCCGGAGGGCTCGTGCTGAGGTGACAGAGGAAAGGGTCCCGTTCTTGGAGATTGTGTCTGAGCCCTTGGGCCAGGGCAGGGTTGGGGGAGCAGTGGCATCCTCCCTGGTAATCAAAGAAGTAAGAAGAGGTCAGAAGTGGGAGGGGGAACCGGGAGAGTCCTACATGCTTTGTCTTATTCCCCATCGCCCCCCATACATCTGCCCTCCCCTCTCTCTCCCCTAAAATCTGCCCATAGAAATGTTTCAGCTACTGCTCACCTTTCCATTAGATGAGAGGGGAGCCAGGAGAGCCCCCAACGCAGCAGAGACCAGGGACACTTACTTGATATCATTGGCCAGCTCCTCCAGGGCCTTGCCCCGACGTTGGCACAAGAGGACCAGCCCAGCCAGCAGCCCCAATCCAATCAGGATGCCCACAACAGCTCCAGCTACCACCTCAGCCCTTGGTCCTAGAAAAGGTTTGGTGTTAGAGAGGGACACCCAGCTGTTCCCCACCCCTCTCCAATCCCATTATCCCACGGCCATCGTACACATCCTCTCTTTTTCCCTGTAAAGAAGAGGGGTTGCTGTCAAGCAGAAAATGGCCAGTCATCAACCAAACATTAGTACCAACATTTGAGCAGAGCAAGTTCCCTATCCTGTTACAAGGAGAGGCCTAGTGGACAGGCTTCCTCCCATCTTACACCCCACCATCACCACCACTGACCATTCTCGTTAAACACACTTACCCCTCACTGACCTGTGCTCACTTCCAGGGTCACATTGCACTGGGCACTGCCCACCATATTGTGAGCCTTGCAGATATAGACTCCAGACATGGAAGTGGAAAGGTTGGTGAGTCTTAAAGACCCACGGATGGCATCTGTGGACACAATTTAGCCATCAGTCCAGGTACCCTCCTGCCCAGGGGAGGAGAATCCCTTTCCCTCCTCTAGAATGTGCCCCCTCTGATTCTCTAGAGTCACAGATTGTCTATTCCATGATCAAGGGGAAAGGTGCCACAGCCAGCATGCTGGGCCCTGCTCAGTCACCCTCTCCATTTCCACCCTTTAGTGCACCCAACTCATATCTGAAAAAAGAGGCCAAAGGGGAATGATGTACCAGAAAACCAAAATACTGCTTTTGCTTATTGTATTTATGAAGGGCAGTGTGAGAGAGAAAGAACATTAGGCTAGGAACTAAAAAGCCTGGGTCCCAAAACAGGCTGTGTGACTCCAAGAAAATTATTTGAGCCAGGTGCGTTGGCTCATGCCTATAATCCCAGCACTGTGGGAGGCTGAGGAGGAAGAATTGCTTGAGCTCAGGAGTTGGAGACTTGCCTGAACAAGAGAGAGACCCTAAGTCATGGAAAAAATTGAAAAACTGAAAAACCCAGCCGGGCACCGTGGTGAGTGCCTGTAGTCCCAGAGGCTGAGGCAGGGGGATGCCCACAGCCTGAGTCTGAGGTTGCAGTGAGCTATGACACCACTGCACTCTGCACAACAACAACAAAAGCAAAGAAGTAAAAAATAAGCAAGGAAATAAAATAACCCCCCCCAAAAGAAAATTATTTGATACCCCTGGGTCTGCATCTCTTCATCTGTGTAATGGGGACAATATAATCTACCTGCTGGCATTGAAAGGGTTGTATGGACTATTCATTATAAGAGTTAACATTTATTGGCTGCCAATTCCACACTGAAGACCGCTCCAAGTTCTTTCCATGTACTACCTTACAAAAATGTCACAAAGAACCTGTGAGTAAATAAGCACTATTCTGAAAAAGAAAAAAAGCGTCTTTGGAAAATTAAGGTAGAAGAAATGAAAAGTAGAAAAAAGGCAAAATGAAAATCTCTATTCCTACTACTTAGGTCCAACAGTTGCTAACATTTTTTTTTTTTTTTTTGAGACAGAGCCTCAAGGTGTCACCCTGGGTAGAGTGCTAACATTTTGCCATATTTATTTGCTTTAGTGTTTTGTTTTGTTTTGTTTTGAGACAGAGTTTCACTGTATCGCCCTCTGTAGAGTGCTTTGGAGTCACAGCTCACAGCAACCTCCAACTCCTGGGCTTAGGTGATTCTCTTGCCTCAGCCTCCCGAGTAGCTGGGACTACAGGCACCTGCCACAACACCTGGCTATATTTTTGTTATAGTTTGGCTGGGGCCGGATTCTAACCTGCCACCCTTGGTATATGGGGCCAGCACCCTACCCACTGAGCCACAGGTGCCATATTTATTTGATTTCACTCTTTTACTGAGACAATTTAAGGTAAATACTCCAACATAAATCTCCAAAAAATAAGGACATCATCCCACATAACCACAATACCATTGCCACACCTAAGAAATTAATGATAGTTATCTAAAATCATCTAATACTCCATATTAAAGATGTTTCAATTGTACCTAAAATATTTTTTATAACTGGTGTGTTCAAATTGCATTGGTGGGTTCAAACAGGTGTGGGTAAAATCCCTATTTTACAAATGCAGGAAGGGAAGCTCAGGGTCACAGAGCTAGTGAATGGAAGGGCTGGAATTTGAACAGAGACACTGTAGCTCCAGAGCCTCTTTGGTCACAGTACACAGCACTTGGACGTACCTAACACCCGGTAGGCCATTTTCTCTGTCCTCCCCAGTACTTTTCCACATTGCTTCCTCTTTCCACCCCAGCTTCTCTAGTATCTCTCATCTTTCCCCTTCCCAGCCACAGTCCAGCTGTTTCCAGACGTGCCCTCACCTAAAAGTGGTGCAAAGAAAACCTGGGGGGCTGGGGGCGGCCGCTCCCACTGGTATTGGGCAGCAGGCTTACTCCTCGGGGACTGGCAATTCAGGGTCACGTTGGTCCCCACACGGGGTACACCCAGGAGACGGCAGGATGGAGGAGCTGGAGGAACTGAGCAAAGGGAGAAACATGAAAACCCACACCCAAGGGGCCCACAGACCCTCCCGCTCCACAGCCTGCCATATGCTGTGTCACTCTGTTTGCCCCTGGCCAAACCCTCCACTCAGCCTCACACCTCTGAGTGTGGGCTGGGAGGGGCCTGGCAGTGCATGCTTCTCACTTACCCAGCACATTGAGTTCTAAAGTTTTGATGCCATGGCTTTTACTTATGTCTTGGCTGCCTTGCACATTCACAGAACAGATATAGGTGCCAGAGTCTTTCTCCCGGAGGCCCTGCAGGCGCAGGGACACATTTCGGGAAGGCATGGGGTAGACCAAGGATGCTCCAGTTGTGTTTGACGTGACCCCATTGACGTAGGCCAACACCTGGTGTGGGCATAACACCACCCTGTTATTATTTACACATGTGCATCATGTCCAAAGGCCCAGCCACTAGCCTCCCCTAAACTGGCATGCTTCAGATGCCTCCCACCTGTGCCCATCCTTCTAATCTGCACCAGCTCCCATCTACCCCTTTCTCCCTAGGTCCTGTCCCAGGGTCCTCTTCCTGTCCCTGGGTCCTCTTCACCAGAGCAGTTCAATTCTAAATCCCTTAGGCATTATTTCTTCATCTCTCACTTGGAGTGTTTAGAAATGTGGCATAATAAGGGAAGGCGTATGGATGAAAGAAACTTAGATTGCACGGGTAGATATGGATTTTGTAGGGCCTAAAATTTATAAAATGGGGGCCTCTTCAAGAAGAAGATACAGGCTTGGTGCCTGTGGCTCAAGTGGCTAAGGAACCAGCTACATACACCTAAGGTGGTGGGTTTGAATCCAGCCCCGGCCCACCAAAACAACAATGCCGGCTGCAACCAAAAAATAGCCAGGTGTTGTGAGGTGGGCACCTGTGGTCCCAGGTACTTGGGGAGGCTGAGGCAGGAGACTCGCTTGAGCCCAGGAGTTGGAGGTTGCTGTGAGCTATGATGCCACAGCACTCTACCCAGGGGGACAGCTTGAGGCTTTGTCTCAAAAAAAAAAAAAAAAAAAAAAAAAAAAGAAGAAGAAGATACAAATATCCTCTGTATGTATGTATACAGAATCTCCCTCTGTTGCCCGGGGTAGAGTGTGGTGGCAACATTACAGCTCACTGGAACCTCAGGCTCTTGGGCTCAAGCAATCCTCCTGGCCTCATCCTCCAGAGTAGTTGAGACCACAGGTGCGGGCCACCACACCTGGCTAATTTTTAATATTTTTGTTAGCCTGAGTCTCACTTTTGCTCAGGCTGGTCTCAAACTCCTGAGCTCAAGTGATCTTTCCACCTCAGCCTCCCAGAGTGCTAGGATTACAAGAAAAAGAAGATAAAAATATCTTAAGAAAAAAAATTGAAATGCTTGAACACATTTTCCAGGACCTTGGAAGGAACCCATACAAAAGAGTTCTGAAAATTACTCTCTTGGCTTCTTGGTAAATTGTCCTTTGAGTAGGCATGGTGGGAAGGAAAAGTAGGGGAGATTATGGAAGGTGGTATAAAGGGGTGGGGGGACAGGTGACAGTCATTTGGGAAGAGAAATGGCCCGTGACTTGACAGGGTCCAAAGTAGAGCATAAGAAAACAAGAACATGGCTTTTAAAAGTTGTGTTACTTGTCCTAAGCCTGTCCTCTTTCCTTAACTTTGCCCCCACCCACCCTAACCCCCCCCCCCAACCGTGTAAAATGCCTGTTGCATTTCTAGGGAAAGTTGGCAAAAGAGAATTCTATGCGGGAAGCGTCCAATTAAAAAAAAAAAAAAAACTGAACCGGTGAGAATTCTTGCTTATCCCAGACACTCCTTCCTGAGCCCCATTCCCTGGTCACCCCTCCCGCCTACCTACGCCTCCTGCTGGGTGCAATTTGCCACAGGCTGCGATGTTTTCCTCCCTCACCTGGACAGGTTCCTTCCCTTCCTGCTTCAGGGACCAAATCACGACGAGCACCTCCCTGGGCTGGGCCGAAGACACCTCCCCGTGCAGGGTGTACCACGCCGGGAGCACCACCTCTGCTCCTTCCACCGCCTGCAACTTGGAGAGGCCGGCCGGCGCGTGCATCTCCAGCTGGGCCCGCGAGGGGGACGCTGGAGACGAGAGCAAGGAGGCCGCTCTGAGCGCCGAGGGCTGGCTCCTGGCTCTGTCCCGCGACTCTGCCCCACGCGGCTCGAGCGAACCGGAAAGATGCGCCTCGGCGAGGTCTGGAGCAGCGCCCAGCGCCCGCCAACCCAGTGTCTTGCTTTCAATGTCATTGGACTTTCTTCTCTCCATCCCCCCCCCACGCCCCCAGCTCCTGGGTTTGTAGCACGGATAGGGCCCCATTTATTTGCATTTGATATGCCCCAAGAAGAGGAGGCAGATCTCCGGCTAGGAGGGGAAGGACATATCTACTACCTTTGTTCTACACCCCTCGTAGCCCATTTGTTCCCCCAGTTTCCGAGGGCGAGAGCTGAGGGAGAGCAGCGACGCTGGTCGGGACAGCAAGGGTTCCTCACTCCCCAGTTCTCAACCCGATAGGCGGAGGCGGTTGGGAGGTCGCCGGGTTAAGGATCAACCCCGCGGCTCCTTCTGAACTGTCCAGAGCAGAGAGTGGAGTGGCCCAGACCCAAGCCCGGCCCGGTGGCTGCGGTGGTCCCCAGCCTCCTGCCCAGTCCGATCGCGCTAGGCTTCCCCAGGAAAGCGGGGTGTGAAGACCCACAAAGCTCGCCTGAAGCCTTCTGAGGTGCGGGCGACCTGGCTGAATCCTCTCTGATCGCAAGGAATTAAAGGCCGGGCGAACGATGATCTCCTGACATGTGCAAAGCTTCCCTACGCGTGTCGGGAGCCCAGGAGGTGGACTGGTGATCGTTTCAAGGAGGGGGCTATCATTTACCCTGTGGCGTCCAGGAAGACTCGTGTTTTGACCTTCAGAGAGGCAACGGAGCAGCCGAGTGCTAACTCCTTTGGGGACTATCTTGGGCTTATGCCCGACCAGGCCTGAGGCCCTGTTCCTGAGCCCTGCTCTTCCTGGGCCTCGATATTCTGCGCCACAGCACGGGAGAAGCACCATCGCGTGGCAAGCAGGTTGCAACTCGTGGGCAGAGGCCGCGGACAGCTCCGGCTCTCCGCCTTGGCCTTGGTAGCTCCAGCCTGGAGGCCTCTAAGCGCCGGGAGCCGATCTGGTCAGGATGCCCCCCCCACCGCTTCCCGCGGCGCTTCTTTATAGAGCCCCCATCCCTATTCCTCGGCCTTGGCAGCACCCCCCTTCCCATTTCCTGGAGGGTTCCGACGGGCTGGGCAGGAAACTTGGACTCAGTGATAAGGCCGAGCACAATGAAGGGGGGGCCGCCAGACCGGAGGCGTTATGGGCGAAAACAACTCCAGTCTCAAGGAACTCGACGCCCCTTGGGGACCCAGGCCCGGGGGCCACTGGGCCGAGGCAGGGCAGGCCAGGAGCCTGCGGACGGTGCGGCTCTCTCCGATGGTTTCCGCAGCACACACGGAGCATCCAGAAACGGTTCCCGCCAGGAAACCGCCTGAGCCTCCGGGGTGGGGGCTGGGGGACGAGCTTCCTTGGCATGCGTTCTCCGAGGGACCCCCCCCCCCATTCATAACTGCACGTTGCAAAAGGCAGAGGAGGGTTACAATAGATAGTGATGGATACCCTAGGGTCTGAGCAAGTACTCCCTGGCTTAGCCCTCGGTCAAAAACTAGGAGCAGCAAAGGGTCCTCCGTCCCGGGTGCCTGCTGGAGCCAAAGCCCCCACGACTGGTCAACCCTGTCTGCTCCCAGGGTCCAGGGGGCCTCTGGGAGAGAAAAGGAGGTTGGTTGGGTCTGAGTGAAGGACAAAGGGGAGGCCCAAGAAAGGGACCCTTCCAGCTCACGGCCCACTAGGAGACCAGAGTGAGGGAGCAGGCGAGGGCCTAAGGAGAGCGAAATGGGCCCGCTCCCCAGGGCTACTATTTTTAGTCTCCCTCTTTCTCTGAGAAACTCCCCCCGCGGGCTTCTCACGCCCCAGGGGCAGCAGCATTGAGCCGCTGATGAGCGCACAGGGCAGGAGGGCCTCACTGAGAGCCCAGTGTAGCTGAGCCGGGAGCCTGCCCGGTGTGCCTCGGTCCTGAGCGCCATTTAACCCTCGAATGGCCGGCAGGAGAGGGGAACTGTCTCGGTGAACCCCGAAAAACTTTTGAGTCGGGGGCCTTCAGTATGACAAACTGAGGCTCAGAACTGGGATAGAAAAAGGAGAAGATGCAGATAAGCTCCAGGTGATACCCAGGATGCCCAGGCAGCAAACTTGGGTTTTCCTCCCTTGCTGTTCACCTGCCCCTTTCCCCCGCAGGAGGGGGCTAGGAGAGTTGAGGTGGAACCCCAAAGAAAAAGAAGAGCTGAGGTTGAAGTTGGGAGAGCCAGGCTGAGAAGTTGAGGGATCCTGGATCAACCCACCAAGTCTAGAGGGGCTTGGAAGCTGCTTTGATGTGGCTGGGGATGGGAGCTGCTCTTGAGACTCACTTTGTCTGGAATGGTCCCTTTCATGGGAACCCTAATCTTTCATGCCCCAACACCCTTGGGGTACAGACCAGGCCAAAGAGGGTACAGGCAGGACCTAGGATCCCCATTTCAGTCCCCATCATTGTAACTGAATTTCACTCTGCATCTTTCCAGGCCTTACTTGCACTGGCATCCTCCAACCTGAGAGACAGTTAAAGCAGATATGGACATTAACCCCCATTCCAGATCCTTGACAGAGGAAAGGCAATACAGCCTGGGAGGCAGCAAGTGAAATAGCTTATAATGGGCTTAGCTCCTACTTGGTCCTTTTCTCCCCCACAGGGAGCCCTGAACCACCAGCTCCTACTGAAGCCAGGGCCCCCGCAGGCCTTCGATACGTCCCAACCACTTGCTCCAAAGACCTTCCTCTCTGACCCTTGGGACCTGCTTCCCTATTTCTCTTGTCCCTTTAGTTTTGGGAACAGATGGGTTGGTGGACCTGGGGGAGGGGGTATCACAATTCTACTCTGCGCATTTGTATCCCTCCCCCATTTCCTGTGTCCCAAATGACCTCACGGTCATCCTTTTGGGACACCTCCCTTCATTCCCAAGGCAGGAAGCAGGAAGAGGGGGCAAGAGGGAGGATCTGGGCCAGGGAATTGACATGAAGTGCCTTTGTCAGACCTGAGGACCAGGGACTCCCTTGGGAGATGTTTCTCATCAGCTTGTGTGTGGGGTGGAGGGACTAGAGGGGGGCTGGGGTTAGGTCCTTAAGCTCTTTAGCCAGTGTCTCATCTTCATCTAGCGGCTCAGCTCATCTGGCTCTGCTAGGTGGGAGGTGGGGGGGGGCTGAGGAATGGCTCTGATAACTCACCCCAGAGGTCTCCAGATCTTCCAGGCAATTCCCTTACTTCCCTCCCACACACAAACACAGCACCCAAACTGGGAGCTATCCCTGCCAGAGCAGGGAGAAAAGTCAGCACGGGTCACTGATGCCCCAGGGTGGGGTGGGCTGGGGGTGGGTGGTTAAGGGAGGGCAAGAGATGGAGGCGGAAGTCTTATCGCACCGGTTCCTCATCAGTGCGAAAAAGCCTCCCTCAGGGTCTGATTCGCCCCATCCCGCGTTCCAGGCCCCCTCCTGTACTCACCGAGGGTACTCAGCCCCAGAAACAAAAGGCGCAGCACGTCGGTCGCTGGGGGCCTGGGCAGTGAAATCATGGCCCTCCCTGGCCCCGATGGAGTCCGGAGGCCCAGCTCAGGGACACACCGACTGACAGGTGCCACCGCTGCGCAACGGGCCGGAGCGGGTGCGGGAACCCGGCCACTGACACCAAGGGCGGCCCCAGCCCAAGTCTGTGCTCCTGTGTGCCTGTGCTGGGGTGGGGACCGACGGCGACAGGGGGGCGGGGCATTCGAGGGGGCGGAGAGGTCGCCGTCCTCCCGGGCGGGGCGCGCGGGTGACTCTGCGGAGAGGGGGCGCTCCTAGCTCTCCAAAAGCCGGATCCCACGGCCTTTACCCGGTCAGGACTCAGGGTGGGGTTGGTAAGTCGTTATGTCCCCACAAGCAGGCCCGGAGCTCAAGGAGCAAGAGGGGAGTCTTGAACTATCATTCTGCGCCATACCCACCCCCTCCGGCGGGGTTGGATAGAAAAGGTGACTAAGAAAGGAGTGGAAAGTTTGGAGACTATCCCAAACCTAGAAGCCACCCGGGTACCCCTGACACCGCCAATGCGTTAGGGGTCTGGCTCAAATCACTGGCACCAAGAGTGGAGGTGGCGCGTCCTCGTCCTAACCTGAGCGGCCTTCCCGGAGGAGGAGAGAGTAGCGTTCCCCCTGGGTCCCCGGGACTCCGCAGTGTGCGGGGCGCAGTGGCAGGAAGAGGCCGGAGCATCCGCCCTGCAGGACCCGTTCTGCTGCCGGGATCAACTGCTTTTCCAGCGCCAGGGCCGGCCTCCGCCACCCCTCCGGAGTCAGGAAGGGTTACAGCCACGCCCGCCACCACCCATCTCGCACGAGGGGGAACTTTGAAGGGCCCTGGGCTGCACCGGGACGCGCCAGCACCTGCGGGTCCGTCTTTACCCGTGAGCGGGTAAGAGAGGGCTCCTCGGTGAGTTCTTGCAGACCCCTAAAATCCACGCTGGGTGATTACCCTAGTCTTGAGCCTCACACCCCAAGCAGGGGAAAATGGCGCAAGGTAGGAGCTGAGCAGGAAACTGAGGCAATACTAGTTAGGTTCCTAGCTCCTCTTCCGCCATCCCCAAATGAGCAGCTCACAGGCCTTATGCTGACCGAGGGCGGCTGTGGGAAGAGACAGGACAGAGTCCTCCGTTTCCTCTTTATTCCCCAAATCTGTAATGCCTCCCATCGCTGCAATGAAGGCTCAGGCTCGCTCTGATCCTTTAATTCCCTGGAGTAGATCTTGTTCGCTGGGAATTTAATTTAACCGCCTCCTCCCCCCGCCACTTATCAAAGGGCACCTCTGCGCCCTCTGGCGGCCGCGACTCCCTTACAGGAGACGCACCTGTTCTTGATTCTCATCCAATAGCCAAAAAAAAAGGAGGGGGGACGCTGCTTCAAACGTCTGAGCACAGCTCAACCACTGAGCAAAGGACACCAAGGGCAGAAAGCCTAACGAATTCCTGGCGCTGCCTGTTCTAGAAGCAGAGTTGTCTGAGGAGCAGAGCAGCCAGGCCTGCTGTATTCCATCTACTCCACACAGTTGTCTGCTGTTTGAACACCGAGTATGGTCCTTGTGCCTACACTGCACAAGGTCTTTCTCCACACAGCGCCCCATAGGCCCTCTCGGCTGCCTCTTCCCAGTGTGACTTGTCTGGCTTCTCTTCAAATACCTGTCATGCAGTGGCTTTGAGAATGCCTATGCAAACACTAGCTTGCTCATGCAAACCCTGGAATCTAATACTTGCCAAGCCGTGGCAGCAAAGGCAAGAGGAATAGGTACCTGCCAGTCCCATACTCTTATGCAAACTATAAGCTTAGAACAGCCAAGTAGACTGAGTGGAGGGGGTGGGGGCTGGTTTCCCTATTCTATCACACTCAAATTTTTCTTGGCTTTACTGGAAGTTGCAAACCACCTCTTGTAAGCACCCCTCCTTTGTTTCCAGCCCAGAGTTAAGTCTCCCAAATAAGAAAATCCTTCCGAGAGAGGTACAGGACAAAGTCTTTTGGTTCTAACCCAGGACACCAAAGCATCTAATCACACACGCTGTGCTCTCATTCCCTGCAGCTAACGTTTCCTTCAGAATTCAGATTCTGAATAACGTGCCACATGCGAAGTGAAGCTACTATCCAGGATCTGTAGGCAGTGACAGATAAGGTCTCGTCAAGACTTTTTCACCTCCCAAGAATTTCCCTCACTGTATCTTGCCTCATTTTCCAATTACTTCTTTCTTCTGACCCTAAGGCAGTCAAGTCATAGCAGGAGTCAGCAGGGCGGCTCCATTACTCTCCATGTTCACCAGGATGCATTTTAGAATGGACACTGCTCTCCTCCTTGGGGTAAAACCCAATGTTGGCACAGATAATGTGTGTGTGACTCGGGAACTGCTTATATAAACATGTGTGCAAGAGCTAAGTCCATATGAT